ATAAAATCGAATGCCGTTGGACCTGACTCAAATATTGACCCAAAATTTATTAAAATTATACTACCTTATATTACGCATAAAATTACCTTATTTAACGCATATATTTTTTATAAATAGGCTTAATCTCTTTTTTGTAAACATGGAAACGAGCACTTTATACAAATAAATATAAATAATATAATAATAAATAATAATAGACAATTTTATGCTTTTTGTTCCTTTCAAGTATCGTAGGACTCTTTTCACTTCTATCCAGTCCACATCCGTAGGACAACTTACTTTTCTAGATAGAACAGACACAGCCAAGGAAATATCTGGACGAGTATTATTTGAAATATACAGCAACGAACCAATAGCTTTTCTATATAAGTTATTATTTTCAAATAAAACTCCATTTCCATTTTTTAAATAACCGGGATCCATTGGGATTGAAGAAGTTTTTGCATTTTCCAGACCAAACTCCTTGATCAATTTCTCTATGTAACGCTCTTGAGATAGATAATAAACATTATCCTCCAAATTTACTTTGATTCCCAAATAAAGCTTCAAATCGCCCTTCTCTGTTATTTCAAAGTTCGACTTCAAAATTTTCACAACTTTTGCAAACTCGACATCATTCTTGGTTGCCACAATAATATCATCCACGTATATCAAAACATATATTATTGAATTTCCATCACCCTTCACGTACAAGCAAGGCTCGGCTTTTCCCCTTCTGAATCCAGAATCAATTAAAATTTTATTGATACGAAGATTCCAACAGCGAGCCGACTGCTCACCGTACAGCATCCAACTCACCGTACAAAAAGGCAGTTTTGATATCGATATGTTTTACCTTCATATCATGGTAACTTGCGATTGCCAATAAACTGCGAATGGTTGACTGTTTTACGACAGGTGCAAAAATTTCGTCATAATTTTCGCCATACTTTTGAGAAAATCCCTTTGCAACAATTCTCGTTTTATATTTTCCCTCTCCGTCAGCCGTCTCCTTCAGTTTAAACACCCACTTACTGCCAACTGTTTTCTGGTCTTTGGGAAGCTCCAGCAAGTCCCATGTTTCATTTTTATTCAGAGCATTTATTTCCGATTTCATGGCCTTTAGCCACAGCTCTCTATCCTGTCTATGCATAGTTTCACAGTTACTGGGTCATCAAAAAAACCAATTTTATAAACATACTTCTTTGCAGGTATGCCCTTATTTACTCTCGAAGAAACTCTTAGTCCATCCATTCTGCCATTCTGTGGTATTTCCTCAACACATTCCACGTTTGATGAGGTATCTGAATCATCAGATTCAAAACCATAAAAATTTTCCTCATCTGATATCACAGACGAAACTTCATTTAAATTTAAGAAAGTACACCACATTATCATCAACTTTTTCGCTTCCAGCAGAAAAACTATGTTCCAAAAATTTTACATCTCTGTTAACAACGATTTTGTTCGTCTTCACATCCAGTAAACGATATGCCTTTGAGTTTTCACTATATCCGACCAAGTGATATTTTTCTGCAACATCATCCAATTTCTGACGTTTCTGTTTATTTATGTGCGCATATGCCACACAACCAAACATTCGAATATGACTCAAATTGGGAGGTTTACCAAACCATAGTTCAAAAGGTGTAACATTAACAGCTGCTGATAGCATACGATTTTGAATATAATTGGCATTATTTACAGCCTCAGCCCAATATCTTAACTCAAAATCTGCATCAAACAACATACATCTACCCATTTCCATTAGACTACGATTCCTTTTTTCCGCATCTCCATTTTGCTCTGGAGTATAAGGGGCAGTCAACTGATGCACTATACCTTTCCTTTTGAAATATGTTTCCATTCTCTTGTTGAAAAACTCTCCACCTCGATCCGTTCTAAGAACCTTCAAACGTTTACCATACTGAATCTCGCACATTTCCACAAATTCCGTAATTTTATCAAATGCTTGATCTTTTGAGGATAGAAAATATAATGTACAGTAGCGGCTATAATCATCAATCAATGTCATGAAATATTTCTTTCCCGAAGGTGTTACATTCTGCATTGGGCCACATAAATCGCAATGTACCAAATCCAATATTTCCTGCGATTTATATTCCGATTTCTTCGGAAAAACTTGTCTGGTTTGCTTTGCCCTCAAAAACACTTCACATTCCGACACACAGTTGCATTTCTTTATTTCAATTCCATCAACAATATTTTTATTTACTGCAGTCTTTATGGTTTGCAAATTTCTATGACCAAGCCCTCGATGCCAGACATGCAAACATTCCGCACTATTAGAAACTCTCTTGGCTACTTGTTGTTGTTGTTCCAACACATACAGATTTTGCCTCAGTGTTGCCTTTGCATACACACAACCATTCTGAGTTTTCGAGCATCCACCTGACGTGAATACCACATCATAGCCTTCACAAGTCAACTTGCGAACTGACAACAAGCTACCATCCAATTCAGGAACAAACAAAACATTTCTTATTGTTATGGTGTAACATTCACAATATACCCTGCAGTCGCCTGCACCACTCGTTTTCAACTCAGTTCCATCCGCTAAAAATACTACGCTTCTAATATTCTTGTTGATCATAACAAAGTATTCTTCCTTACAACACATATGACATGTAGCAGCCGAATCAACATACCACTCTCCGTTCGGTCTCGAATCATTTACGCCAAAACAAACATGTTTTTCATCACCACTACTCGCAGCATGAGCTCTTTCGTCATTCTGTCTCTGCTTCTGCGTATTTAATCTTGGACAATTTCTCTTTATATGACCAGGTTTTCCACAAGAATAACATTTCGAAATAAACTTCTTTTTCTGTGTCTTGAACGCCGTTTCAGCCTGTTCAGCACCACATTTCCGCTTATATTCCTGCAACAATTTCTACTTTACTAAACCAAGTGTAAGATCGGCCTCTGGTCTCATTTCCAATGATGATATCAAATGATTATAGTCCTCCGACAACGTACCCAGCAAGAACGCAACGGCCTTATGATCCTCAACAGTTTCACCCAAGTCTCGCAAACGGTCCACAATTGATAAAAAATCACCTATGTGATCTTCCATTGCACGACTTCCAGTAAAGCGCATCGATGACATTTGTCGAAGCAAACTAACTTTGTTGGTTATGATCGCCTTCTCGTGATGTTTTTTCAAAGCGTCCCAGAATTCCTTTGAAGTCTTGAGTTGCTTGATTATTACCTTCTGCGATTCATCCACAGCCAAACCAATAGCAGCTCTCGCTTTCCCATCACGCACCAACCACTTAGCAGCAGCCTCTCCTTTAGTTGGAGCTGGAGTAACTCCACTCACCACATCCCACAATTTCCTCTCAAGCAGCAGTAGTTCCATATTAAATTTCCAAATATGGTAATTGCCATTTCCCAACTTTGGAAATTGTGCGTAGTTCATCGCCATCGATAAAAAAAAATTATTTTATTTACTTTTCCCTAAACTATTTAAAATTGCCGCGTATCTGGGCCCATAACCTGTTGTTTGTTGAGATGACAATCGTTTATTGAAAAAAAAAATGCGCTTTTACAATATTCATACTAAATACATGAATGCAAATAAAAGTACTTTATACAGGGATGTTAAACGAACAGTGATGGTACATATTAATTCATACTACGTTTACACATCTAATAAATTGATTACTAACAACTTTTTGGTACAAATTATGTATTTTATGGTTTTTGTTCATGTTGGATATGTTTATAACATTTTTACCCTGTACCCTGTACAGGAAGCAAAATAAATAAATATTTTTTTTTCAATCTTAATGTCCAATATATATCGAACAATTTGGAAACATGCAAAAACAATCACAATTCCTCAATCCAATAGTGAATATCGCCCGATTTCCATTTTATATTTCGTATCAGAAGTATTTTAACAAACAAATGTCTGAATACCTTCATCGGAAATCCATGTTGTCTGTTGAACAATCCGGGTTTCGCTCCAACCATAGTTGTAGTTGTGTTCCAGTACTTTTTTAGTAGTAAAACTAGCAGAAGAGAGAACAATTCGAAATGTAATTCTCATTTAGGTTTGCTCAAAAAATAAGGGAACGGAAAATTAGCAGAAATGCGATAAAATGTCAAAATACAAAATTTCAAAAGTAAACAGCCTAAATCAGACTGGTGAAACCTTACTGAAAAGAGCGCCAACATTTAAAAAATGAGTATTGAAGACGATAAGTTAAAATTAATAATTTATAATAACAATTAATAATCTGATTCCTCATTCAGCCAATCCTCTTCACTGCTGGAATCATCCAAAAGTGAATACATCAGTTGCTCCATATTTTCTCTTTTTGTTTTTTGCACGACAAATATTAATTTTTCCTTTAGTTTTCAAGTTGATCATTTTCTTTATTGAAATGTATCAATACATTTTTCAACCTTGTTAGCCCTGCCAATTAAATGTCAAATTTACAATATGCACATTTCTGCTCGGCCAAATTCATGTAGCTAAAACAAGCAGAAATGTGCACCACTCAGCGCCATTTTTTCTCGAGAGAGCTGCAAGTTTTGCTAGTTTTTGGAGTACGGGAATGCGTTGTAGCAGAATTAGTGCTAATTAGTACTAATTTGCAGGTTCTGGAACACAACTTTTGTTACAGCCTTAGTCGAAGTCGAATAAGAAGTAAAATTGATGAAAACATGAATATTGTATTGTTCTTCTTGACCATTTCAAGGATTCCGACCCAAATGACCAAACGTATGTGTGAAGCTGAAAAGATTTTCGATTTTCACAAGTTCAGCTGTACGACTCAAAATCCTAATTGAGTTTTCGTCTACAGTCGGTATTGGTAGGAAATTCTATATAACTGATACTAATTGCAGATGTGTTGGTATAGTTACCTCGAAATAAATATTAATGATCAATGTACACCTTAACAGACATGGACAGATACATAACTCAATAAAATATCATAATCTTTCGTAATGCTGTTTGCTAATACTTTAATAAATCTATTTTTCATTAGGGATATGAATCCAAATTGTCGAATATATGCACTCCCAAGTTTATGTTATAGCAGTTTGCCATTGTGTCGTACTCCAGAGAGAACTAATCTCTTATATTTTGCGAACAAAGCTGCATATAAAGAACGAAAGCTTAAGAAAAATATTACGGAGGGGTCTGCAGTTGGAACAGAAAATAAGTTAATCCACAATCTTCATAAACGTTTTTTGGAAAAAAACTCTAAAGAGCGCAAGTTCCTTCTTAAACGAAAAGCTTCACAATCATATGAAAACGCTTATACTGAAAAGATTTCTAGTCAATACCCTCCAACTAAGAATAGCGAAAATTTAAGACGAATATGTCGCGAAGAGTGTGAGCTACTAGAAAATGAACTATGTCAGAAGGAATATGCAATAGCTAAGCGACACCCCGTAATAGGACAAAAACTGCCACTTGAAGAATGTTCACGTCTTCCAGAACATACTGATTGTTCTCATCTTGGAATAGAAGTAGACGTTGACATGTCTCAAAGCTGCTACTGGAATGACGGATCAAGTTACAGAGGAGTTTTGGCAACATCAAACTCTGGGAAAAAGTGTTTGCGATGGTCATGGTTCATGAAAGACCTCTCAGACTATCCTGAATTAGTGGGACAGAACTACTGCAGGTATAACATAAATTTGTTTTATTTTTATGATACATAATCGCTATGCATTTTAGAAATCCTGGCAGCATTGAAGAAAAACCATGGTGCTTTGTAGATGATAAATCATTTGGTAAAGTAATTGAAACGTGCAATATTCCAAAGTGTTCAGATAGTATTTGGTTATATATATTCTTGGCCTTCGCAATCCTTATAAGCTTCCTTTTAACATATACTTTGGTCAGCTTACGACGGAGAAGATGCACTGACATGACAAGCATACAAAATGTACATTTTAACACTATTAAAATGGTATTGAAACGTTTTAATATATTATATTTAATGCAGATGAGCACACCAAATGCAGATAAAAACATATACGGAAATTCCCAAATGAATTCTTCACTAGAAATGTCACGCGTTAATAGTAGTAATGGCACTGGTTCTACATCCACATTTATTAATAACGCAGAAAGAGCTCCACTTATAAAACTTATACACTATTCTCTACAAGATGTTGAATTTGTAGAAGAATTGGGAGAGGGTGCATTTGGTAAGCATTTACAATCAATTTTATTTATAAAAAAAATAAAAAATATTGATTTTTTTGTAGGTAAAGTTTACAAAGGACAACTTACTACGTCTGCAGGGGAGAAAATATTCGTAGCCATCAAGGCACTTAAAGAGGATGCTTCCTATAAAACTCAACAAGACTTTAAGCGTGAAATCGAATTGATCTCCGATCTTAAACACAACAACATAGTTTGTATACTCGGTGTCGTTTTAAATAAGGAACCTTTTTGTATGCTATTTGAATACATGCCGAATGGAGATTTGCATGAATTTTTAATTGCAAACTCCCCACAGGAAAACAAAGCATTAACTCAGCTTGATTTCTTAAAAATGTCTCTTCAAATAAGCGAGGGAATGGAATATTTGTCAAGTCATCACTACGTCCATCGAGATTTAGCAGCGCGTAACTGTTTAGTTGGAGAAAATCTTATGGTCAAGATATCAGATTTTGGATTGTCACGTGATATTTATAGTTCCGATTATTACAGGTTTGTTTATTAGATTTATCTGTTTCGAAAATACGTAAATTTATTTTGCCAGGGTACAATCAAAATCTTTATTGCCTGTTCGTTGGATGCCATCGGAATCAATCCTCTATGGAAAGTTTACAACGGAAAGTGATGTGTGGTCATTTGGCGTTGTTTTGTGGGAAATATACAGTTATGGAATGCAGGTAATATTTTTCAAACACACATTTTCATCATCATATTAAATCTATTTATTTTTAGCCATATTATGGGCACAACAATCAGGAAGTTATAAACTTAGTAAGATCAAGACAACTTTTAAGCTGTCCAGAAGCATGTCCTGCGGCCGTTTACGCCTTAATGTTAGAATGCTGGCACGAACAATCAGTAAGAAGGCCTTCTTTTATTGAAATAACGCAGAGGCTAAATACATGGTACGAAGGTCAGCAACAAAAAGTAAACAGTATGAGCACACAGATTTTATAAATGCCACAGGAGTTAAATTAAGATTATATATCATTAATTGTACATATGTTTAAAATGCAGCAATTAATATTTACATGAAATAATTTTGTTTCATTTTACGAAATAAAAATTTGTTTTATACAAATTATTATTAGATTTTAATATTATTAAATTTTGAAATTATTATTAAATTTTGATATTGGTCCTGATAAAACTACCAAGCAGACGTGGCTCTTAAACATGAATGTGTTCCAGTCACAGCATAGATTCGCATTTTTATACCGTACACCACTACGTGGGGAGAGTATAAGTTTGTTCTCAACTGATGTCCGTCTTAACCTAAATATTTATTTTGCAGTTGTAGCGTGTATAGATACAAAAATGTGTCTGGATTATTTATTAATTAACAGTTGAATTTGTAATGAAAATCCCAGGGGACAATAACTATTACAATATTCAACGATTACAAGTGTACAGTTTTACATATTTCAAAATTAAATATTAAATTCAATAAACAAAATATAACTATTTATAAAAAATTAAAAAAAAAATACAAAACAAATGTGCCAGTGGCTATAAAGATAAAGTGGTTAAATTAAATATATTTAAATTATTGGATGATATATTGAATAGTCGAGATGCTCTCACCAGAAATGACCCATCTATGTGAACATCTGTTCGGAGAAGAATTAGGTGAGTACACCTGAGTGATAAAAAATCTCAGATTCACAAATCGTTGAAATGAGCATCCTAGAAAACTAACACCAAATTAAAAAACTAATCAACTACAGCACTATTAACAGCCATTTGAACCCTTTTCATATAACACATACAGGGTTGCCCATATTCGACGGACCCATGACTCTTTGGGCCCATTCCAATCGACGAGGCTTGTCCGCAGGCAACATTCTTTGCGTCAATTGAATTTTGTGCGGGAACAAATGCAAATCAATGCGAATAATCCGTTGTAAAGTGGAACGAGCCATGCCCAACTGCTGAGAACGGCGTTTTTGGGATGTTCTTGGGGACCTCTCAACACTGGCTCGTACGGCACCGATATTCTCGGCGGATCGCCTTGGTCGACTTTTATATGGCCTCTTCGGATTAGAAAGAGCCTTACCAGTCGAAAATTTTTCGTATAAACGCTTAATGGTGTTCTTAGAAGGCGCACTTCTCACATTTTTTAATGTTTTAAAAGCACGTTGAGTTTTCACAATTGACTTCTGTAAATTTCAGAGCGCTTGCGTGGCGTGTATTGGTTCATGGTAAAAATCTGCTTGGACTGACGCTTCAAACGCGGTATGTCATTAAGCGATGTGACATCTCTGTCAAAAGTTATGGCGTTGCCAGATGGGTCCGTCGAATATGGGCAACTCTGTATGAAAACTGGTGTAAAATCCAAAACATGAATATAAGCCATCCGCAAGATATGGATAACGCTAGAGACCACTCTATCGACATAAGAAATAAATATGATAAACCGAGCCAAAATCACCAATATTAGAAGCTATATCATTAATAAATAGCAAGAAAAGGATTGGTCCAAGAACGGACTCTTGCGGCAACTCCCTTGCTTCTAACTCCCAAAATGCTTTGAACTGAATCACTAACAGCAACGCATTGCTTCCTATCTAGACGATATGAGGAAATAAGACGACAAAATCTTCATTAATATAAAATGATAAGTCGCTAAGCAGACTTTTTGTTTATGTAATTCAATAATTGCCGTTTCAGTTAAGAACGCCCTGTGCAAGATTATGCAGAATAGAATCAGGCATTACGTTCTCAAAGAGACGATGTTAGTCATTTTTTTAATGAAAACTTTTTTACCATTTTTTCACGTAGAAGGGCAGTCATTATAATAGTTTCACCAATGGAGAAAAAAAGCAACGTAAATAGGGTAAAACTAATATGAAACATTTCAGTGAAAATCCATCAATTCCTGGGTGTTGTATTTCAGTGAAAATCCATCAATTCCTGGGTGTTGTATTTCAGTGAAAATCCATCAATTCCTGGGTGTTGTATATGTAAACTCGATATTGACATCACTTTTATTTTATCTGCCAGCTGGCAACCCTATTTTCACAAGTGACTCAACGGTTAAAGACTATTTTGACAGATTCGATTGGGCTAAGGTAGATCTACTAGGTAATCGCTTCACCCTAGCTGACGGCACCTTTAAGTGTAAAAACAAGTTGTTGTAATGCTGATTCGCCCTAAATAAATGCAACAAAAAAACAAAGTTTGTTTATGTCTTCTTCACTAAAAATATTTTTTTCTGATATTTCAAGATGTAAGAGCAAGTTTAGAGTGAATGGCCAGAAAAAAAGTAAAAAAAATGAAAAAATGTTCCATGTGCAATAAGAAATACCGTCAATCACGAGAGCTATGACTCAGTTGGTCTTATCCAAACTTCTACTAGCTCCAGCTCTTCCCCCACTCTGTGGTCTGTGAAAACTCTTTGTATGGTTTGGGGAATTTGCATCGGCTCTGCTACCAAGAGGGCTTTTACTGGTGGCGATATTGGTGCTAAGTTTTTTCTTTAAAACCATTTGATCGGCAACACTTGCTTCTGTTGTGTCCTGTGTTGTAGTTTGTGTAACCTCCGGTTACCAACATTTGCTGGAATATAAAGTGGTATTTGTCGATTTCGGGGGCTTATTATCAACTGGGGACTGTTACAATGGTCCCCGAGAGTTTCTGATTAGTTGAAACAAGTTTGCCGCAAACTTTAAATGTCATGGCGAATGCATGTTTTTCGCCTTAGATGCCAATTTTGACATTTGAGGGTACCACAAAAGTTGTTTTGTTGTAGCAATTCGCCGATGCGGTTACCTGTTACATCTACCTTGGATTGGGCGTTAAATTGAGCAAGAGTGCTCAAGAGGATTATCATAATTATGCGCACGTACATATGGGTGCTAAGCTACATACGGCTCTCAAAATTCAAATTAGTCCTAAGAAGCCAGAAGAAATGAAATATGAAGAAATCAAAACATCATTGATAAATCATTTCAACGGGTGGAGATATATTAATGCGGAAAGTTTCAGATTTCGACAGGAATCTTTGGCAAATTTTTCACTGCGCTTAAAGCAAGCTGCGGGTTCGTGTGACTATGGGGCATTCCTGGATAGGATGTTGATTGAGCAGATGATATTTGGAGTGGAATCCCGCAATATTTGTGACGAAATTATTACTAAGCAACCAAAAAGTTTTGCGAAGGCATATGAGTGTGCCAGGCAAAGGAGTTAACTCAAGTATCAACGGGTGTAGTAAATACAGGTGAGAATATTACTACAGAACCGACATGCAAATTGTGATTCATACCTGTCAAGACGAAAAATGGTGTAAAGCGGAAGTCGAATAAAACTACAGAGGTGAGATGTTATGGTTGAGGTGGTCGACACGTACGCAGGATTGTGAATTCAAGAACGCAAAGTGTTTTTCTTGCGGCAAGGTAGGCCACATAAGTAAAGTGTGCAAGTCAAATACAAAGCAGATAGAGGAGTCGTTCTTGTCAGATGAGGGCGGGGAGGCACATACGTATCAGATTGCAACAGTCAGAACAAACGGGCCATTCGATCGGAAAATGGTCACAGTGAAGATAGACGGCCAGAAAGTGGATATGGAACTGGAAACGGTTGCTCAGTGCAGTATTATTAGTTTAGAGAAATTAAAGAACATAAAGCGGTCACCAGTGTTAAAGAAAGCGGACCGGCTATTTTCAAGATATACGGGGCACAAGATTACGTGCATAGGACGTACAGTGGTGAGTGTGTCTTTGGGCAGAACCAGTCGTAGGCTGATGGCGATTTTGACACATTATGAAGCCGTGGGTGGATCGCACATTTTGTTCGAGAAATAAATTTTGCCGAATTGTTCCAAAACCCAATAGAATCACCAACGGGGACGGAGTTGTCAGCAGCGGCAGGAGGGAAGATAGCATATATAGCAGTAAAAAAACCCATACTGTCTGAACATCAACGACTACAGCTGCTATTAGCCAAACCTAAACATATATTCAATGATGTAGCGGGTAAGTTCAAAGGTCCTCCTATTAAAGTGCAATTAAAGCAAGATGCTACGCCAAAATTTGCAAGACCCCGAGAAATCCCATTCGCATTACGGGATGCATATGCCAAAGAAATAGATGCTAAGATTGCGGCGGGATTTTACGAAAGAGTAGAGTATTCAGAATGGGCATCTACTACATATGTAGTAATGAAGAAGAATGGAGGTATACGTATTACGGTAACTACAAACCAACCGTAAATCCGCAAATTGTAACGGACGAACATCCATTTCCGAAAGCGGAGGATATTTTCAACAGGATGAAGGGCTCAACGGTGTTTGCCCTTTTGGATATTACTGACGCTTATTCACACTTGGTTCTTGACGAGGAATTTGCCCATGTCCTGACGCTGAATACTCCAACACATGGACTGATACGTTCAACTCGAGTAGTTTCTGGAGCCGCCAACAATCCGGCCATTTGGCAAAGAACGATGGAAATGGCTATGCATGGCATTCCTAATATTCTGGTGTTTGCAAAATATGACGATATTCTGGTGTTTGCAACATATGTTGATAATCTGTTGAAAGTTCTTGAGACTGCATTATGCAAATTAAAGGAAATTGGATTTAATTTAAACAAAAAGAAGTGCGCATTTGTGTCGTCATCGATTGAATTATTAGGACGCAAAATCGACGCCAAAGGAATTCATAAATCCAACAAACACATTGAAGCGATTATGCATGCGACAAAACCAAGAACGTTGGAGAAGTTACAATTATTTTTGGGAAAGGCGTCGTGTTATTCCAATTTCATACCAAACCTGTCTACATTTAAGAGGCCACTTCGGGACGTTTTGAAAAAAGGAACTTTCTATTGGAATAAAAATACAGAAAAATACAGCTGATATCTCCGCATCTGCTGATTCCGTACAATCCAGCATTCCTATTCTACTTGCAACGGACGCCAGTAAAAAGGGACTGGGAGCTGTTCTGCTGCATCGTCTTTCTAATGGACAGGAACGTCCAATTGCTTATGTGAGCCGCACCGTGAACGCGACAGAGCAACGATATCACAAATCGATAAAGAGGCGCTGGCCATAGTGTGGGCCGTCCAAAAGTTTTTAAAGTACCTGTATGCCCGTCATTGTACTCTGATTACTGACCACAAACCGCTGGAACAAATCCTACATCCGAGAAAGACACTGCCTGTTTTATGCATATCTCGTATGGCAAACTACGCCGATTTCCTTTCTAATTTCGATTTTGAAGTGGTCCACAAAACTTCGAAAGAAAACAGTAATGCCGATTTTTTGTCTCGAGTAACTCCAGCCAACAGAGTGAACAAGCTCAGTTTTGATAAGGCCATACGTAATGACCTTGATGAATTCGACAGTTTCGTGATTCGCCAAATTACTCAATTACCGGCAACTGCTGAACGAATTGCGAAATAGTCCACATCTTGCTAAGATTTCAATGTTATTGGAAAGTGGACAGTGTTTGTCAAAAGCTGTTTACAAATCGCCTGAAATTAACTACAAAGTGTCGTCAGGGTGTTTAATGTTTGAACACCGAATTGTGATCCCACCTAGATTGCGGGCGATTTAATAAAAGATTTGCATGGCACCCATCTAGGGATGGTTAATATGATAGGCATAGCCCGGTCCTTCGTTTACTGGCCGGGCATTGACAAAGACATTGAGAGCACTGCGAGGGAATGCGAGAAATGTGCAAAGTATGCAAATGTCCCAAAGAAGTGCACAGATCATCATTACATCCGGAGTACCATTAATTGTAGTTTCCGATAATGGAAAGAATTTTTCTTAGGCTGAATTCAGGAATTTTATACAAGGAATTGGCTTTTAGTACCACAAATTTACAGCCCCCTACGACCCAGCAACTAACGGCCAAGCACAGCGAAGTGTCCAAACGGTGAAGAATGCATTAAAAGCTATGTGTACAACGAAAGTGACATTGAAGGAGAATCTAAACGAAATCCCTAGACAGTACAGGAATGCACCTCATTCGACTACGGGTCAGTCCGCAGCACAGTTGTTCCTAGGATGACAGTTACGAACACGTTTAGATCTAGTGCGCCCACAAGAAACTAGTAGTAAAGTAACAGCCAAACAGTTCATGAAGAGCAGCCGTAAATACACGGAATTGGAAAGGGATCAAAATGTGTACTTTCTGTCCGGAAATCTACGCATTAGCAAAGGCAAAGTGACCAAACGTTTGGGAGATGTCCATTATCAA